ATTAGAGAATAATTCTGTCTTAAGTATTGCAAATCTACGGTACCTTTAGGACCTTAACTCAAAATACATGGCTATGAAAACGTACCCCAGGGCCGGCAATTTAGCTCAGTGGTTCTGCCGCCTGCCTTGCAAGCAAAAGGTCCCAAGTTCAATCTTCAGTACCAAAAAATAAAAACGTACCCCCCTAACCAAGGAAACATTATTCAGCTTATAAACAACAGAGTATAAATATCACAAACATTATTTAGTATATATCCGTGTGTAAAAGCTTGGAGTTTTATATACTTGATTCTTTTATATTTTATAAAGAAACTCCTGTCATGACTGCTCAGCTGATTTTATAACCCAAATGCCTACTGTATTTTTAAAAGTCTATTTTATTTAGCTATATTGGGTTCAGAGAGACTATTAGTTAAATATGTCCATCTTTTAAAAATAAGGAGATAGAGCCAGATGTGGTGGCACATACCCCGGGAGGCTGAGGCAGGAGGATCGCCATGAGTTTGATGCCAGCCTGGACTACATAGTGAGTTGAAGGCCAGCCTGTGACCCTGTGTCAAAAAGAAAAAACAATAAATACAGATATAGTCCTGGAACATTAGATAGGCTTACTGTTAATAATGGAAATCCCAAAGCAATTGCTTGCTCGTAGGTTGAGTTTGGATTTCTGAAACATAGTGTTGAGATTTCTGAATTTTTTATCCTTTAAAAAAAAAATAAGTCATGTTTGTAGAGACAAAATCCTTTAAACTTTTCGGTTTTATTTTTTGGTACTGGAGATCGAACTCCAGACCTTGGGCTTTCCAGGCAGGCAGCAGAACCACCGAGCTAAATCCCTGGCCTTTCCTTTCTTTTGATGTTTTGGTAATAGATACTATCATGGTCACAGCCCCATTCTGCTCACTGCAAGATGAAAGCCACACGTAGGTGCTGCCAAGCATTGAGCACGGTGTCCTGGGTCATGAGAGGTCACGTGGGCTCTCCACCGGGTATCAGCCCATCCCTGCGTGTATAGTGCTGGCAGCCCTTGCTGTATCTAGCACCCAGTGGCCTCCATTCTGTCATAAGTGTAGTGCACTTTCCATGTCTTTCACACACCGTACACTGTTCTTTCCCATTTCTTGCTTTCTCTTTCACTCTTAAGTCCCTTCTCTTGCTGGATGCATATTATTATATATATTTTTTTGGTACTGGGGATTGAACTCGGGACCTTGCACTTTTGAGGCAGGCACTGGAACCACTGAGCTAAATCCCCGGCCCCTGGATGGATATTATTTTAAGGAGGTGCCTTTCCCCCCTTTCCCTCTACTTTGGAACAGTTTACATCTCAAAGCAAGCAATATTGGGACTCTGTATAATTTTTCCACCTTTCAGTAGCTACCCATGTGTATGTCTCACCTTTAAGCCATCTGATGTAGACTCACCTGTGTTTGTTTCTACCACTACAATTAGAACAATTATCCATTTTTATAGCAACTGGTATTTTATAGGTGGTTAAGAGTTAATAGTTAAGATTAACCATTTTAGAATTTGAGTTTTAGAACTTGAAGGTGTTTTGCGTAGGTTTGTTTAGATTAGCAAGTATTGTAAAATAGTGAAGTCCTATAAGAGTTATCTTTTGTTCTCGTTATTGACCAACTCCAGAACTTTTCTTTTGTATTTTAAGCTTTGTTTTGCCTGTATTGATTCTGATATTGCTGCTGCTTAGTCCAAAGAAATTTTCAATGTATTAATCATTTGCTTTCTGTAGCTATTAAAATAGCTTTAGTATTTATCAGGGAATCAGATAGATTCTGAGGAGTACACCTACTACTGATGATTCTGTTCTTTCTGTGGTTAGATCTGATGTTTAGCCAGGGACCTCGTAACTTAGAAATGGAAACATGGGAAGGGGCTGTGGGATGGTGAGAGACAGGAGGGTGAACAGAGGAAGGGGAAGTAAAAATGATTAAAATGCAGTATGTATATGTACCACTTCCCTAAGGTGAATGTAATTGTTATGTATCCCAAACATATATGAATAATTTTTTTTTTTAAATCAGGCCTTCTGAAAAAAAAGTAAATAGAGAGGATATTATAATTATTTATTTAGCTGTTTTGGAGAAAGATCTTGTGGAAGTAGATTAGGGTTAAGAAGTCTGTTTTGCTTTTTTGGCCTTGGCGTTCCTTCTGGGTTTCTAGGTGAGGCGGCATCTCTGTGGAGACAGCCCTGTGTCCTCGAGAAGCTGAGGGAGGTGCAGCCAGTGTAATGTAGGGATCCTCAATACACACATGGAATGTAGAAGGTTGACTGAGCCTTGTTAATATTTAGTAAATATAAGGAGTGCAGCATTCAAGAGACTCAAGTAAAATTTGAGCATTTAAAAAATAAATTAATTAATTTAAAAAAAAATTTGAGCATTTTACTTTTGGGGACAAAAATTGAATTTGTAACTGTAGAAATAAGTTCTCTCCTCAAGTGGCATATGCCTTGGCAGTTAAAAAAAATTACTTGATGTATCTTTTAGTCCAAACCTCCCCAGTGCTTTTGTTTTCTTTGAAGTTTTGTGCTATTTGATTAAGTTCTGGGAGGAAAAAAAAAAGAGAGTTTACAGTGCTTTCTTAGTGTTACTTGGAGGAAATGAGTATACCGGACATCCTGCTGTATAATAGCAATGATAATAATGAAGATGGTAAATAGCAAGTAACATCTGAGAATTGAGGGCATGGCCATGCCATGTATGTAAAAGGAAGTACCGCCATGTACCACCTTTAGTCCTCGAGGCAGCACTTTCAGACTGTAGTAGTGTTGTGTCTTGACTTTACAGGTGAGGAAACTGAGGCACAGTGTGAGACTAACTTACCCGGTGTCACGTAGTTAGGGGTTGACAAAGCTAAGATTCAGATCCACTGGGTTCTTGAACTAATTCCCTGTACTTCCTGGGACTAGTACTTGAGCTTTGGAAATTTAAAACCACATTTCCTGTTTGTTATAACATTTGACTTTTTACCAGAGGACAATTTTCTATTGATATTTTCTTAACTTGCTGAATGAAAAAATATTTCTTTGTTGTTTCTTTGGAGGTTTTTCTGTCTTTAGACTTCATAGATCTATTTTAACCTAATTAATTATATGAAAGTCAGAATATTTTGTCTTTAACAGTTGTCACAAGTCTCTATTTCACTGTGTCACAGGGCTAAACATGAACTTGATTATACTTTATTGCTATCTTGTAGCCCAGGGTGCCCTTGAACTCACAGCAGTCCTCCTGCCTCAGCCTCCTGAGTCCTGGGATTTGGATTTCTTTGAAATAGTTACAGTGATGTGGAGGGTGATCTTGAAAGCCTAATTAGCTTTATCTTATTTCCTTTAAGCCCTGTATGCACTCAATAATTTTATCTAGCTTTAAGAATGGAAATTTCAGCCAGGTGCGTAGCCTGCACACCTGTGATCCCAGCACTTGGGAGGCAGAGGCAAGAGGAATGCCGAAAGTTCCAGTCCAAACTGGGCTACATAGTGACCACTCTGAACTACATGACAAGACCCTGACACAAAACAAACAAACAAACAAACAAAAAGAATGAAAATTTCTTCAGTGAAGAAGTCTTGCGTTATGTCTTGCTTTATGGAAATGAATGTGCCTAAGACAGGTGGATATTTCCAATCCATCTGATGATTAAGTAGTCATGAGATCATAATGTAAACTTGTAAGCAAAAGCTTTGTTTGAAATGATTTGACACTTAAAGAGACATTGCAAAGATACTGTAGAGAGATTCTGTATATCCTTCACCAAACTGTAAGAACCTGTGCTGACTCAGTTGGGGAAGCAGATGGTGTGGCCTGTGGATAATCCATGTAGCCTATTAAGATTCACAGCACTCGCGTGTATTTAAAGCAGTCAAATGGAATGGCATACAGTCAGCTGCACATTAATTGTACTTTTTTTTCCTGATATTCTGTAGCTACATTACATATAGGAAACAGAACTGGATTTCTTTTGACCTTCCATACTTCGTTAGATAGAGAATCAACCTACTTGGTATTACGTGTACATGTAGAGAAAATTTCAATTCTACTTGAAATTTATCATGGGTTAATAATTATATTTTATAAAAGTTCAATTGGTTATTTTCTTCCTAAAGACTTCTAAATATGTAGTTTTCATTGAAAAATCCAGAAGTCCAGTAGGGAAGACATGGGGTACATATTTTAGCTATAGAGCACCATGTACACTTAGTTTATTTTCAAACATATATAAAATATAAAATGTTCATGCCATTTCCATGAACATTTTATTTTGGAAGTTTGCATTCTTATGTCACTTAATTTTTAGTTTTCTCAAACGTTAAAATTTGACAACATAATAAGCACATTTAATGTGAAATTTTATTTTTTTTTCTGGAGAGCACATACTGAATTCCATTTGACCAAGTGAATGCCTGTGAATCCATTCTAATAAGTTTTTTTGCTTCCACCCATGTCAAATCTACATGAACTAACTCATCTGAGAAGTTTTAATGCTCAATGATATTCTTAGGAGATAATTAAGTGTGAGAACTGGTTAGCCATCCAGTAGACTAACTATTTATAGACAAGTGGTAGAACCAGGGCTCTGATTTACCCTTACACCTGATTACCCTTACATTACCCTTACATTTGATTTATTAACTTCCAATCTGAGTCTTGAAAAGTATCAAATATAATTTTAGTTTCTTTAACATCACAGAGCATACCTGTAGAAAGTCCCCCAGTGAGAGAGTGGTGGGAAGAGTGTTTCCAAATTTCATACTGTTTAAAGACATGACTTTGTCTTGGATTTGAGCATACCAGGAGGCATTTAGACTAGTGACCTTCTGTTTTCCTTGGGCTGCAGTGACTGGCCTTGCTATTTTTGTGAAAAGTTCAGCCTTTTAAAGCTGCGGAGCCGAGCACGGACATTGCTTGCTTTGCTGTGGGTAAGGACACAAGGATGCTGATGGTGCTTTCCTTCTCTCCTCCCCTTGCCCCTCCTCTTCCTAGATGCGCATCGGGAATTCCTTCACAGGCCCACATCTGGATATGTGCCAGAGGAGATCTGGAAGAAAGCTGGTAAGAATTGTTTCAAAACACAAGTTTGGTGTTCTGGCAGCTGTGTGCAGTTGTTAATGATGTAAAGAATGACAAGAAAGGACTTTAGTGCTAACAACAACAATAGCAAAAACAAAACAAAACAAAAACTCCACAACACAAAACAAAAAATAAAATAGAAAAACCCTCATTAATGTTCTTAAACTGAGCTTGATTAAAACATGAAATAGTTTTATTTTAGTAGCATCTGCTAGTGCCATTATAATTGAAAGGCTGGCAGTATTTCCTTTCTAAATCTCCTTTTCAGAGGCTATAACGGTTGCAGGCTGAAATAGGAGGTCTTAGCTTGCATGCAGTTTTTCTTTAATGAAAAAGCCCTAGTGTTTTAGAAATTAAATTGCATACTTCAGCATTTTCTTTGCATTCTTTAAAGAGATCACATCAAATCTAGTTGACTTGTTAAGGATTTTTCGGTTACAGTCAACTTATAAAATTGATCTGTGTTGATCAATATTCAATGATCAGAGTGAAATTACTCTAACTTAAAAGACAAAGTTGCTAAGCTTCTACTTTTACTTTGCATATACACTGCTTGCTTTCTGTAAGAAGAGGTATTTTTTTTGTATTTTGTAGTAGAAGGTCTTGACCCATCTAGTTGTTATTGGCCTTAAGTTCAAATCTGGCAGATTCTTGGTGAGACACTAGCTGAGCAAAAACCTATATAGAGCCCAACTCAGGAAATAAAGCATAAACCTGTTTCAAGAGTTAAAGAAAGCATGAAAAACATTTTGTGGCTTGGAGGGTGCTGTAATGCCAAATATTAAGATAGTTTTTCTATCTGAGTTGGCAAACTGGGAAATGCTATTTCTGCAGTCCGATGCGTACAGGGCTGAAAGCACCAATGAAAGAGACAGGGACAAAGTTTTTGTTACTGTTTTGTGCAAAAAATTTCTCTTTGGGATTTGATTTGACTCAGCCATGTTCTGTGAAACTTGCTGAATCTCTGGTTACTTATATCTTTTTATTCATTTATTTTCTTTAGTATAACAAAAAACAGTTTATTTGGAAACAAAAAAAGTTGGAAAAGGTAAAGGGTAGACAGCTACCATGGGTGGTAGGGGGCATTAGACCTGAAAGCCTACGTGCCTTGGTACTAGGCTCCTTTTATTGAGGACTAGTGTCTTTTCCATCCCCCAGGTGGGAGGTTACTTGTATCTTATCCAAGATTTTTTATAGATATTTCTAAGAAATGCTGATTTTTTTTTAAGAGTGATAGTCTTTAAAATCTTGCCCAATGTGGTATTGCATGCCTGTAATCCCAGCCCTCTGGAGGCTGAGGCAGGAGGATTGCTGTGAATTCAAGGCCAGCCTGAGCAACATAGTGAGTTCAAGGCCAGTTTAAACTACAAAGCAAGACCCTGTCTTGAACAAAAAAGCTTTAAAATCTATAGTATTCTTAAATTTAGTAGCTTCGATTAAGAACCACAAAGCTTTCATGCATGTCCAGAATAGAAATTATATAGATCAATTCAGTTTAAGAATTAAAATGTACATGTTGCACACCTATCTAGTATTACCTAATTTATGATAATCGTGTCATTTTTGCAAGCTGTTCGAAACATACTGGGTGTTATCTAGCTGAAAGAGTTGCTACATCTTCCTTCTGAGCATTTTCTTTTCCCTTTTTAAGCTGTTAGTAGATCATATTCCAGTAAATACAAAGAACTGTCATTCTGGACAGCAGAAGGAAGACTATGTCAAAGGAGGAGGGTCTTTCTCTGTTTCCCTTACTTACCTGTATTTAAGTTAAATTCTTGATAGTTCTTAAAGGAAAATTGGCAGTGAGGTCTCGTGTAATCCAAATTCCTTCTGTGCTATTATCTACTCAAGTCTTTGTTGGACTGCTATTAAGTTGAGAGTAGATTTTTCTGAATATACCACCTTTGTTTGAAAGTCAACTTGAATAGCTATTACAAAGGAAATCTTACCTTAAGTGGTAAGCAATTGAAAGCAGATTTAAAACTGCACTGTGTATTTTCCACTTAATCAATTTTTTCCCCCTACTTGACATACTATAATCTGTTGAATCCACCATTATTTTTCTTCGCTGCCTGATTTGTGGGTTTTGGAACCTCCACTTTAGGTTTGGGAGACTTAGAAGGAAAAGCAAGATGAACACTTGCTTCTTTTGGGTCTGTATAGTCTGTAGGAAGGATTAAACCTCACCAAAGAAATGTTTGGATTAATTTTTAGATGCATCTGTCATGTATATTAGGTCATCATTCTGAAATATGATTTAGTACTGTGTAGATTAAATTCATGCTCTTTTCATGGTTGTGTCTCTAATCATCTGCATCAGAACAGTTTGGGAAGTTTTCTCTGGTGGATGCTAAATTTTAATCAGTATATTAAATGCCTAAGGTATGGACGGCAGCTTTACCTGGAAGTCTCTAGCAATTGCTTATCATATAGACCCATGTAGACTTCCTAGAAGGCATTTCTCCCATTGACAATGTCAAGTCATACACCATGATGGGAACACCAATGACAGAATGAGACATCTGAGATCAGCTTGTTACTGTTGGGAGGCTTTCCTTCCTTGTATTCTGAAATTGGCTGTGAGCAAAACAAAACAAACGAAAAAGAAACCTATAAATTATGTCTTTCCAATGAAAGTACTATTCATTAGCTTTGTGGCCAAAGATAACTAAGGCATTTGAAAAATACCAACATGGCAGAACTCCAATAAAACATTATACTATAACCATTGTATACTTTTTTCACAGAAAATTATAATTGCAAAAAGTGTACATTGTGCTTGACATGTCATATAGCGTTTTGCACTGTTTTATTTTGAAGTTATTTCAAACTTCCATAAATGTTTCAAAAAACTAAAAAAAATAGCTTTCTTCTAGGTTCTCCCATTTTACCATATTTGATCTTTTTTTTTTTTTTTTTGGTACTGGGGATTGAACTCCAGTCCTTGTGCTTGCACAGCAGGCAGCAAAACCCCTGAGCTAAATCCCCGGCCCCACCATATTTGCTTTAATATCCTCTCTTTTTCTAAATCCTTTACTTGTTTTATTTCTCTGATCAGAGAAAGATATATATTTTATACTATCACAAATTTCTCCCCAACCATTTGAGAGTAATTTGCGAAATGCTGTCTCTTTATTAAACATTTTGTTGTTTTTTCCCCTAAAAACAGGGATATACTTGGATAACCATAGTACAGTTATCAAAGCCAAGAATGAATATTGATATTCTTATTTTATATACATATTCTATGCAAATTTTGTTCCAATAATAAAGTTTAATAACATATTAATTCGCTTTTTTAAAGACTAGAAACCCCAACAAATACTGAACACCACATCAGTTTTTTCCTAAAAGTAATGTTCCTTTAAAGTAACAGCACATATAACATGTGCATTCAGAAGTTACACAGGATGTTTGTAAAACTAGAAAAAAATCTAACATAAAGATGGTTTTAAAATTGCAACTGAATGTTTTCTTCAATATATTTCTTTTCAAACGATCAGAGAATGTTTGCAGTTGGTAATAAATATTCAAGCACCTTGCAAATGTCCTACCAATTCTGTTTGCTGATCTGTATATGCCTGTGGGATTAGAATAGGAATGCATAATTTAAATATAAATTGCCTGATTTGCATATACAATTAGTCAAGCTACAGCTTTGATCGTAAGCAAAAATTATTGTCCTGTATTACCACTTAGATAGAATTTTAATTCACCTTGAATATTCAAACTAAATTAAACCCTGGCTGTATAGTTAGAAGGGCAGTACTTCCCTGGTGCCCTGAGTCATTTATGATAGGGTAATAAAGGCATCTTTGGCCCCCTGGTGAAGAAGGCACTGTAAGCTCAGTCTGCAGTACCTTGATTCTATCCAGATTTTAAATGCATAACTTGAAGCAGCCAACAAAGGCTTAACATTTTTAGTTAATATTTCCAGTCTGGATCATACCTTTATATTTTCATGGGTAAAACCTAGCAGACAGTAATTGCAAACAAATGTTCTTCAGGAATAGTGCTTCTGAAGTGACAGGCCACAAAAGTCACGATAGTGAATTACTTCTTCTGCAGAAGAACTGCTGACGATCCTAGACTACATGTAGATGTGTGAAATAAACCATAGGAATTTAAGAAACCATAGGAATACATGCATCTCTTACATTTTTAATCTACAGTAAAACATTTTTATTAGGAATCTATGTTTTTAATTAAACAACATTTAATTAAGGTGCTTTTTAAGTGGGTGAAACAATTAAGTGCAAACACTTGAATGAAACATGTCATAATTAGTTTTAATAGAGTGTTAATTGGTACTAGGTTTGCCAAGTTAATAATTACTGCTTATTAAATTTTCAATTAATCATTGTCATTTTGCTTTGAATAAAGATGAAAATTAGATAAACTAATTCAGGGGGAGGATATTTTCCCTTGTTAATTAGAAGAGTTAATTTTTTAAAATGGAAATTACTTGTTTTAGTTGTCAGTCTTATGGTGTACATTAGTTGAATCTTTGTACCCTTACTGCAGCCAAAAATAAGAGCTCATTGGACACCTGGCAGATTCACAGTCAGGGCCAACCGTGTTGGCCAGCAGTAGATGCTGTCACGTTTGTCCGGAGCAACAGTCGGTTATCCAGAGCTCTTGTATGCCTTTGGTGAAGTCGAAGGACAGCAGCTTAAAACTTAGACATTAGAGTATATTAAAAGCCTGTCACTTGGTCTATTAAAGTATAAATCTGTATTACTCAGAAAGTGACTTCAGAAAAAGGCAAAACCAGATCATCTTGTTTCATCATCAGTTTTATTGTAAAAGTCTGTGCTACTTGCTGAGTTACCTTTTAACTCTTGTGTTGCAGTTTGTTGTGGGGTTTTTTTTACCAGAAAATAATGGTTTGAACTCATATCTGTGTACATGTAGAATATACTGCTTCCTATTTTCTGAATAATGCTTTACCCACAGACTTCCTGGATTCATGTTGCCCCTGTTGTGGAATTCTGTCTTCTTCATGTGTTGGAATGGCCCAGACAGGTTTCTTGTGAATAATCTTGTCCTTTCAGTACTAAGTGTGGTCTCAGAATCATTTCTGTAGACACTAGCCTGGTTAGAAAGTAATAGGGATGATAGATACATTTTAAATATTTTTCCAGAAGTGCAAGTTAAAGAAATTTTTTTTTTTTTTTTTTTTTTTTGGTGTTTTTGAGACAGGGTCTCACTATGTAGTTCAGGCTGTCCTTGAACTCATTATGTAGCCTAAGCTGTCCTCGAACTCATTATGTAGCCTAAGCTGTCCTCCAACTCACTGCTATCCAGCCTCAGCCTCCTGAGTACTGAGATTACAGGTGTGCCACCACTCCGGGCGTAAAGAAAAATTCTCACCCCAATTCTCACTGTTTGCTTTCCTACGCGAATCTCAAAGACCGCTAGTTTTTTCAGACAGCCAGAATTGCACAGCAATGTGGATGAGAGGCCCGCTGCCCGCTAAGATTCTGTTAGCGCCCAAGGCCTGCACTAACGCGGCTGTTCGCTGTTCTCTGTCCATCCGCTTGGCCCGGCCTGACCCCCCCACAGAGGAAGCTGTGAACGAGGTGAAGCGCCAAGCGATGACCGAGCTACAGAAGGCCGTGTCTGAGGCGGAGCGGAAAGCCCATGACATGATCACGACGGAGCGCGCCAAGATGGAGCGCACGGTGGCTGAGGCTAAGCGGCAGGCGGCAGAGGACGCGCTGGCCGTCATCAATCAGCAGGAGGACTCCAGCGAGGTGAGGCCGCTCCCGAGGGAGCAGGGTGGCTTCCGTAACCGGGGTGCTCTTGATCCCAGGGGGCGACAGTTCACAGCGGAAGAAATGCAGAGCAGTTTGGAGATGTTGACGCACTTGTGGAATTGACTAAGAGCTAATCATATTGTCTTTATGGAAGACCTGGAAGAAAACGACATTTAGACTAAATAGGTTTTTAATGTATTCTATGAAATAGATGAATGTGAAATTCTTACAACTTTCCAGCACCGTTTAAAGACTCAGAACATGGCTCCCTGTCTCCCTGTCATGTGCTCACGCATGGTTTCCTTTTGACCAAAGGGCTGTGATAGGCCGGGGATCAAATTAACTTCTTTAGCTCTTGGTCCTAAAGTCCAGTTGTAAAAACATGTTTTTACATCAACTAAATATTTCTTAAAGATTTTGTAGGCACTCTGTATTCCCACACTATTTGTCATAACCGTTATGATGGTCCTTAAATAACATTGCTGTCAGAAGTGATATCATTTAGTATTATTCCAGTATATATATTCCACACATATGCATGCAAAAATAGCCTAAATGACTCCAGAATCTGGGAAGTAAATAACTAGAATATAACGATACTTTTAAAAAACATGTCCCATAAAATTAAAGCCACGTAGATATGCCCCACCTTAATTAATGCAACATCACAATCATCAACCCCAAAGAAACTTTGGATAAAAGACTACAATTAGCCCGTCTCTCTCACAAAGCTGAACTCAAAGGCATGAACTGATAAATCAATGGTCTACTACAATACATATCTGTAATTTGTGAGGGAGAGTCAGAATTTAATTTGTACCAGGCTTTTCTGTAGATGAAAGACGCTGCGGGAATCACTCAATGCCCAGAGTTTCTATTTAATGTGTAGCAGATGAATAACGGGGACAAAAGGAATTGATTTTCAACATTTGAAAGTTTCTCAGGAAGAGAGGGACAAAGGGAAGTTTATCTACCCTTTAACTGCTGACTTTTCCATTGTCGACCTAAACTAGACAGAAATTCAATTTTATTGGCATCTAGCAGCTGAGATATGTAAGGACTTGGTGCGTTTTATGTTTCTGTAAAAAAATCTTTATTAGCATCTTTTGAAGAGATCTTGTACAAGTTAGTAACATTGTAAGGCACACTTATCATCCTGCAAAACTGCTTGCACATGAACATTTTAGAGCTATGTATATGTTAAAGAGTATAAGTCCGTGAATTCTAAAAACAAGTGTCTAGGAAGAAATTGTGAATTAATAAGTCTTGGTGTTTGGGCAATGACTTGTTGTATGCTTTCACTACTGTATGAGCTTTGTGTCTTTATTATAAAATCTATTCAGAATAAAAAAAGGGATCTTGACACCACTTTTTAGTGTTATCTAAATACTGTGTATTGAATAGACCTCAAGTCTGCAGAGCTTCCAGAACCCAAGCTGGCCAGCCAGAAGAGCTCTGCTTCCTTGGATGTGTGTAAAGCACCCTCCCACCCCCGGTTGGTCTCCTGGGTGGGCAGCCCATCAGGTTAGGATCCTGTGGCCCAGCTAATCTGCCTGGTGGTTCAGTACCTCTCAGAATTCTCACCTATGATGTCATATTCAGGGATTTTTCTTGATGATTAACCATTTGTCCCCAAATAAGGCCCACATAGTGTTGTGCTTTAGACATTTAAAGCTCTTCATTTTCCTAGGGGGGAGAAAAGGGTCTGACTATGATAGTGATTGGTTGAAAAAAAATATGCATTCCCATTAAATGTAACAGCTATTGATTTTCAAACTATATTCAGAAATTAATGGACCTTCTTTTTTTGTGACCTCCCCAGGGAAGTGGTTATTTGATACATACAGCTTTAAATTACACATATCCACTTATTTGTTTATGCTTCCAGTAAATTCTTGAGCTTTTATTACATATCAGGGACAGTTCTGGCACTGAGAGTACAACAATGACCGCTTGTCTTGACTACAATTCACTGAGAGTTGAATAACTAAATTATAGAGTTGTAAGAAAGTTTGACATGAAGGTCTCTTATACTTGAGGATGACCAGGACTGGTTAGCAGCTGTCCTCCGCCCCTCCCCACCCCTCCTGCTTCTGCTGCTTCCTCAGGAAGTGGGCTTGCTTTGCTCATGTGGGAAACAGGGGAGACAAGGAGGGAAGCTTTAGAAGCAGGTGGCCCCGTGGCGCTGAGTGTTGGGGAAAGATCAGTCAGAGTCAGACCATCGCTGTTTCAGGAGAGAGATGGGGAGGAAGATGGATAGGCGAGGTGGCTGGTAGTGGTGCCAGGGTTGGGGTTAATTGTGCTGTCTGGATACCCATGAGATAGAATGAGCAGGACGTGACACTTGAAAAGGATAGTTTTTCAGTGGACCTACTGGGCTTGAAATTGGCACATCAGATGACGTTACTTGAACCACCTTCAGAAACTTGCTGGCTTTGATCCGTCTGGGAGATGTGTAGAGGTCACAGGGAAGGTGACCTTTGTTCATTTTTTGGTGTGTGCATAAACAACACTAGTCAAAATGTTTAAAAGCTCAAATCAGTTATTTAATCCAGCTAGACAGACACAGCTTCTCTTGGGTTGGAAGGGTAAGTAGAACAGTCTTAAGTGGTTCACCATGTCCCATGTGAAAGGCAGGACAGTGCCTTGATACCCTCCTGTCATCACTTGAGCACCTCCTTCTCGGTGTCCTGCTGTGGGTAAGAAGTTACATGGTCTCAGCACTTACAGACCAGCCATGTTTAGCTGACTGGATGGTTATATCCTGCGGTGTGACAGAGGGGTCCGAGGGCAGGGCTCAGGAGACTGAATTGAACTGTTTGCCACTCAGGGATGATTTATTTTACTCTTGTCAGACTGTTTCTCAAAAAATGGTATGTTATTCACTTACCTTACGGGGCTGTTTAAAATATATTTTTTACATCAGTATTTTCATTTATAGTGTTTCAAGAGCTAAAATTCATGGTGTTGTTATGTGCTCGTATTTCCCATAGTACTATACTTTTATGACTGGACATTCCCTTCTCTCTTTCCTTCTCTTTATTTGAAGCTATCTCCTATGGTAAACATCAACCACCTTCTTATTTAGATTGTATCTATAACCTATATAATTCAAGTCCACAAAAATATGTAGGTCATGTAAGTACACATATTGTTTTATCTTCTCCCTTTTTTAGAGACTATAAGAAGGAACCTGAGCTTCAGAAAAAGACTCGTTCTAGCCCAGTGGAACTGTTTCCTCTGAGCTGTTTGTGTTAAGTGCAAGAATCTCAAAACTGCTTCTGTCTCTAAGCTTTCCTTCTTCTTTCACATGTAAAATGGAATTGATAATGCTCACTCTGGTTAGAAAAACCAGTGGTTCTCAAAGGTTGACAGTAAAGGGTTGCACAAGATCCTAAAGGAGGACAGAAGAGTTGAAAACATTTAATTGAGACCAGCAGGAAGAAAAAAACACAGAGGTAGGAAGGAATAATGCACGGGTATTGTTTGGTCAGGGGTGGAGCACCCCATAATTTATCATCCGAACTGGGACCCTTTCTGTAGGAAACAAGGTGCTGTTGCTGGGATGGACCCTCCCATGAACCAGCTTCCTAGACAGTGGCAACCCCATGGTCGGCAGAGTGACTGGAGGTTGCCTGAGGGTTGCTTCACCCAAGATGAAATGAGACCCACAGTGACCGTGTAGCACTGTGCCAGGTGTGGATCAGAATTGCTTTCTGCTCAGTAGCTCATTTTCTTCTCAGGCTTCTGTCAGAGTAGAGTTGTTTTCTTCATTTTGCAGGGTAGAAAGCTGTGTCATGGAGGGGCCCAGCCTCCTGCTTGGCATCTCACAAGGACTGTGTGTGAGCTGCTCCTAAGCCTGGTCTGCCTGGCTCTCTGCCACCTTGTTAATAGTCATATGGCAGGGGTGGGAATTGTCTTTTCCTGATTGTGCTAGGGGGCCTGTTTCTTCACTAGACTTTCTCCAGTCATTTCCACCTAGTTCCTTAACTTTACTTGAGGCTTATAGACTAATAATTATTATCCCTAGCAGAATGACACTTGGGACAGATCCTAATCAATATGATACTTTATATATTTTATCTTTTTAAAGTTTTTTTATAATCCCAGCATTAGCATAAATCAAAAAAAAATTAATGGAATCTAGTCATCTTGAACTGTTAAATTTTTTCAATTTTCTTTTTTTTTTTTTTTTAAGAGTAGGAAAAATTTATTGGGAGAAAGCAAGCTTCTGCCTAAGAGAGACAGAAGGGGGACCGGAAAGTGGGTTGCCCACCCACCCCACTTTTCAAGGATGTTTTGTACAGTAAAGCCGTGTGGTGAGGTGGGTACAAAGTGGAACAAAACTATAAGACCCAATGGAAATTTACAGGGTGGGCATGAGGTGGGACAAAGCCATGACCAACCAATAAGATTACAAGTACAGTCACCTGGGTAATATTGATTAAATGGGGATCCAATGGGGAAACAAGTCACAAACAAGGAATTTTCCATTTAGAATATCAATCACTGCTATCTATCTCCAGGGGAAGTAGTGCCTCCTCTTTTTATAATGCTAACCAGTGAATGTGCCTCAGTTGTTCTCCATGTTGGCTCCTTGCAGTTTTGGCTCTTGGAGGGCTGGCACCTTAAGGGAGGCCCTGTCTAACTGCCTGTAAGGTATCTAATTAACTTACCTATGGGTAATATTCCCCCCTCTGAAGAAGTACCCCTAACTGCTGTGAGGGGGCAAAGGGCGAAGACCAGTCTGGCTACTTCCAGCTGAAGACGGTCGTAGTAGTTATGATCAGCAGTCATTTACTCTACAGAGGGTCTATCTAAAGGCTCCAGGCATTGTCATCTTGGTAGCCATATAGCTTTAAGTCTGGAGGAGACAAACAGTTAAGAACACAGGGGCCAAATTATAAGGTCAGCAGAATTGCTATGAATATGGCCAACAAGGGTTTCCGCTGGGAGGAACTAGTAATAGCCTCCCACAAAGAGGATAAGGAGATGGT